ATTACAACGTTTTTTCTTTTTAAAGCAATTTTTAAATATGCTTTTTAAATTGGAAGATAATATGTGTAAAGATTGATCGTAACCTTTTTGTAACTCTGTATACAAATATATTTTCTTTCTACACTTTCAAGCAGCTTAAATCATGTATGTAGTTACATGCTCTTTTAACATATATTATTTGTCAACATTAAATAAAAATTACAGTTAAAAAACAATTTGCGATCATAACATTTTTAACCTTATCCTATTTTTTCTCATGTTATTAAGCTTTACTAAATTAAGTCATTAATCTTTGTAATATAAGGCATTCATTCTTCTTTGTTAAAATATATAATCACATTAGGTAAATGTCATGAAGCAAATTCTGATATTTAAAACTACTACTGTATTAATTTGAGATTATTATATCTTACCTTTAATGTGCTATCACCAGCTGCAGTTGCTCTAAGTTCATGAGCAGAACATATAGGAACTGATGTTGGAGGAGAAAATGAGAAATGTAGATATGATGATTCCATTTCAGACTCTATAACGAGCTTATTACGTTTTGTTGTCAAAGGCCGCTTTCTCCGTGCTCTACACACCAATAAATAAAACAGCAGTCCTCCAGCAATAATACAAAATCCAACAATCAAGCCCAAAATTGCTAATGTTAATTTAATCGTATAATCTTCTTTGACAGCATCTTTGGAATATATACAATTTTGTCACAAATAAAGATAAGCAAATGAGCAATCATATTAATGTCACATCCATTTACCTCCACTATAATCTTGCAATATTGGAAATGGTCCACCATTACAAAAGTCTGTTTGACAACACTCAACGAAATATTGAATACCACTTAAAGATCCGCTAACATGTCTTTTCTTATTGTTACCATTTTGATTGGTGTGTAGTGGTTGTTGCTTATTGCATATTAGTAACATTTGGTCAACTGATGAAGTACATCCTCTACTTACACTTATACTTCCATCTGATTGTTTTACTTTAGATTTCCAACACTGCAAAGTAACACATAAGTTATTCATTTCTCTTACAATTAAAATACTTTAATTATAATATAGGTCATAATATAAGAAATATTACCGTAATTGCATTATAACATGGTTTAGTATATGAACAGTCTGGTCCCTCGCAAATATAGCACTTCAAATGTTGGTATCCAGCTGAATTATCATTAAAGTCTGCGATATCTATTGATTTCTGTGATTCTTCATTTTCTGATGAAAAATCATGTTCCGCTAAAGTAAAACTCTCCTTTTCTCCTAAAAACGATTCCTGTTAACCATTGAAATATGTTTCATGGTATTATGAAATATTTTTCTAATACATGTTATGTACATTTATATGAGTATTTAATGGAAAATAAGTTGAAAATGGAAACATCAAGTTACACACAATTTTTGTAGCTTTTATGTATAGACACACATATTTCACTCATCGTTCTTTATGTATAAAAAAAGTAGAAGGAACATAAAAATTGTATACATAAATTATTATTCAGTTTCAATTCGTATAAAATATTTTCTAATTGAAAAACTTATTGCCTACCTGGACATAGTTTGAATGTCAATAATAACATGAAATACAGGATAAACACAAAATCCGCCATTGCCATACACATCAAAATATTGGTTGGCTGAAGTCAAATCAGTGTTTTCAAATTTCCTTTACATAGACATAAAATCACAATACAATCAAAACAAAATTTTGTTTTTATAACAAGTAAAAGAAAAATTAAAGATATATACAATCGACATTGAATTGGCGGTTTTTCGTGTAAAAAAAGGTATGGCTACAGATGGCGCCGTTATCATATTGTTACGTTCACATAAGACAACCTCAAATAGGAAAGACTACAATATTTCTATAGTTACGCTATTATGTGAACTTAGCTTCAAACATACATAATCTAGTAATACAGATGTACAAATTAGAAACAAAATTTGTACCTATATACGGTTAATTTATGTATGATTTTTAAAAGACGTATTTCTCGTCATATTCAATTTTAAACAATTCATGCTCTAGTCGGATCGCATATGTTTTAAATGTTTCTTGTTATTCTCTTTTTCACTTTTTGGGTTTTATGTATTTCTATTGGTAGATATGCATTACACATTGCAAGTACGTAAAAAAAAACAAAAAAATAAATATTTACCCTTTTTTATCCCCTTCAAAAATTACTTTTCGTAATTTAGATATCAATGATGACAAAGTAATGATTACAAATAATGGTAACAAGTTTACATGGAACTACAAGCAATAAAATTCAGACGCCAATAGTATGGGTTATTCCTTAAACAGCCCTCTCGTTTAAAAGTTAGGTTTACATTTATCTACTTAGTTTTCAGTATTTCTACATCCATGGTTAAAACTGATATTTTGCTTTCGTGAGAATGCTTATTATGTCTGAATATTTTTTTAATATTGTTATTTTTAATTATTATTAAATACTCTTTAATAATTATTAAGTTCTCTCATAGAAGCAATTGGATTATATTCGTATGTTCATTCGATCTAAAAAACATTTATACAATTTTCAGTGTAATACAACAAATGAAACAAAAATTGTAATATTAGAAAATATAAGAAACTTTAAATACGGAAATAAATACCAGCTATTTCAAGTACAAATCGCTATTTGAATATTTATACATTATTGAACAGATATATCGCTCCATGGCTACCAACGTAGCTAAACGTTTTAAAATAACTACATAGAAAATTTTTATAAAGGCTGGAGTCCGATTCTTCGAAAATCAAACTCTATTGCGCATGAATAGTCAAAAAGTATTGCTACAAAGATAGTTCCAAAACTTCATAATATGCATGAGTAATAAAATTAAGATCGAAATTCAAATATCAGCATAAAATATTTCATTTAAAATCTTTTCCTGTTTATATTTAGTGCAGAAAATAACAAAATAATATTGTATGAAATTAAACAAAAATTTACGTGAAGATTCTGCTCTTGTTAACGTAAATACTTGACTTAAAACTTGTAACAAGAAGCCATAGTTTGGCAATAATAACAAAATACACGTCTGACGAAGTATTATTATTATATAAGTTTAGTTAGATTATTAAATTCAGGTTACGAAATTGGAAATATCAGTGTACGTTCATATTATTTTCTTGAGATTAAAATTTCAATAACTATTTTTAAGAAGAAACATTTTTTAGAATATAGAACAGAATTGAGAAACTATAAACTAATAACTGGAAAACGTTTTGAAAAATACTTCATGGTGAGGGACAAAATGAAATAAAATTTAATGAATCACGCAGGAATGTCTACTTCTTTTCTGTGTCAATGACTTGTAGGTACTTGTAGAAAATAGTTTTCTAAGAAAATTAGTATATTAATTTCTAGAAAATATTATTATTTCTAGAAAATGTTTTTTATTATGTAAACATATGTAACTATTATAAGTATAAAATATTTTTATTTTACAAATTAATTTTCTGCTACAAATTATAAAAATCCTTAACAAAATATATCCACATCCTTTTATATTGTTTCTCTAAATGGTGTACCTTCAATTTATTAAAGCTTTAAAATTAGTAGCAGAGAATACTGATAAAGATCGCGATGTATAACGATTTATTGTTAGGTGAACGTGACATCTGATCGATCGTTGTCCTCTGATTCTATATTTTATAATATATAGAATATATATTATCTCCCTAAAATCTAAAATTTAAAATCTAATATCTCCCTAAAATCCCATACGAGAGATTTAATATTTTTTAAATAATTACATTAACATTTTAAATGCATCATTTAAATAGCTTCGATAATAACGATGCGAATTTCTCCATTTACAAATGAATTAAAATATATCTTAACTTTAAGGAAGATCAATAGCTAATAATGAAAGTGTAAAACTGATCGATGTAACATGAAATGAATCATGTAGAAAAAATTTGTCTAAAAACATGTATGGTTTGTAACTCACTTTCAGGTTTATTTAAAATATATAATGCTGTCAACAACTATTATGTACAACAATAATTTTGACTTTGAATCAAATTTAAATCAGGCATTTGCCTGTATGGACAACAGTGCTGTAAGTATGTGGTAGTAATTGCTCATTTTAATAGGCTTGTAAATAGATATCAAAAAACACCTTCTAAAACAGAACAAAGATTGAAGGGAAAAAACTGTAATCACAATCAATACCTAGATTTGACCGTTTCACGTTTATAAACATGGAAGGTGGCGTTCGCAAGCAATTTGTTACGAAGCCGAATTGGGGGTTCCCTTATTACGCTTGTAACGAATATCCATATTTTGCTCGCAGTTCACGGGCAACGGTGACTATTCTTGCATGGCACAAAGCATTCTAAACGGCTGTGCCGGCTGCTATTTCAAATAACTTGTTACAAAATTATAGTAATTAAACATAATAGTTATGTTACACATAATTCTCTAGAAAAATGTTTATTTTCTAAAACAACGTTTGAAATAATTTCATTACTTCTTGTATGGCAAGATAGATCTGATAAAAGTAAGTAGATTTAATTTTGATTTTATTTTAATGAATATTGTATAGTATTCGTACTAGCGTTCAATATATGTTAACATAAAAAGATAAAATTTATATTCTGTGATGTATTACTTTCAATAAAAGTCCATAATTTTACAATATTTTCACTGGTCAAAAGTATTTGTACACTATCAAATTTGTTAATAAATGTAATCAGCAAGATTAAACAATAGATTTTCATGTTAGAATTGAAATTCTATTAATATTATATAGTAAATTGTAAGATATAAACATTATTTCAACATATTTGTCTGTTTTTAGTATGAAAGTAAATATTGTTTAACACTAGAACTATCGAGCGTTTAATATAATTAATATCTAATCCTTATAAAAATTGTAACAATAGATTTTCTCGATTTCTTTATATATTAATTACAGTATTCAAGTGAAACTATTTATTTTTAAAACCAAATTCGGATATTTAACGCCTTTAAGATATCAATAATTCCGAAATAAGAAAACTGAAATCTGTCATTTTTACGGGTATGGTAGTTCTAGTATCAAAAAAATTTTTAAGTTTACAAAACTCACTGAATTACAGTTATTAATTTCCAGTCATAACTATCTTTTTATGACTTTCTCACTGTTCAAATATTTAGACCCACCATTGCATGTATATATATATATATATGTGCGTGTGTATATATATTACTACCATTTTGGTTTTCTTCATTTATTCTTTTACCATATATGTTTTGAGTATAAAAATCAGATCTAAATTTGATATTGGTCTATATTAAGATTATCATTGAGTGTATGATTAATTGGTTAGTATGATAAAGTTGCTGTTTGTATACAAGCATTAGGAGCAGTCACGCCAGAAGCTTTTCTAATACGGTTATTTTTTTTCATTAGTGAAATAAATAAGTGATCAGGTTTGTCGTTCTACGATATGGAAGTATTGGAATTAGATGTATGGAAAGGTGATTGGGGTCTACCATCAGTCGATGTGGAATGCCTACAAGTTTTGGTATGTAATTTGAGTATTGGTTATGTTACAATGTACCGCGAAAATGCTTTTGTTATTATAAAATACTAAACTTGAAACAGTATTATAAGTTTTACATAGTAATATACACTCGGTTAAGAAAATTGTTCTACATTTTACGCTTTCAGAATCTAAAAAGTGCAATTTTCATTTATAATTCTTCCATGAGGAAATTGTCTTGGTTATTTTTTTAGGACTATGTAATTGTATGTAGAACAACATTAATACATTTGAAATATATTATAAGTGATTGCACATAAAATCTAAATATTTAAAAATTATTTAATATTTTCTACAAATTTGTTTCAATTTTTTTTTAGACATCTTGAGTAGAAATAATTGCAATTTCTTTCTTTACCTGTAGATAAGAAATTATATTTTAATAGATAGAAAATATAATTTATATCTTACTTATATGACTTAAAAGAAAGTATTTTTTTAATTCTGTTAATTCTTTTCAATTTGTTTTAGAAATCTTTCTTGGCATTAATAGTTACAGGTACAACTCTTTCATAGATATATAATTTTAATACTCATTTAGACCGTTCTCGTTCTTAGAATTTCACTGCGAAAGGATGAAATACCTATAAAATATCACATTACTATTTTCTGGTAAATAGGTAATTGAAAATATTTTCATTATAATATAAAATTATAATTAGTTATTTGAATTTAATAAAGGAAAAGACATTTCTACATTTTGTAATTGTAGTAGTACATTATTTGTACACTTTTCAAATAATTGATTGTATTTTAAAAGAGAATATTCCATTATTTGCTTTTGTGTGTGCCATTATGTGTTTAATGTTTTAAATTTAATCTTGGACATAGCAAAATTCTAAGTAGTTTAATTAATTAACAGGACTTTAATTATATAATGTAAAAAAAAGTATATCAAATCCTTGTTTCTACGTTATTTTATAAAAGATCATATAAACTAAAATAGTAAGGTTCTTTGTGTTTTAATGTTTATTTTACCTACATAATTTTTGAAATATCGTTGACAATCCAAATAAACAT